TGAATTTTTTTTTAAAAAAAACAAGATTTGGAATGAAAAATATATTTTATTACAATGATTTTTGGAAAAAAACGAATTTTAGTTATTTTTTTATAATTATTTTGCAATTTTAAATATGACGTGGAATATTAGTTTTAAAATAAAAAATTAATATGACGTGGAATATTAGTTTTAAAATAAAAATTAATATGACGTGGAATATCTTAGTTGGCAAAATATCTTAATGATGTCAGCATTAACAAGTCAACATGTCAACTAGACCCTTAAGTAAACAAAAAGTTTGATAGAGACCCCTAAATGACAATTTTGAAAGTTTGTTCCCCAAAATAAAAATCAGGTGAAAATTGGTTCCATTTTGGTGCAATTTTCCCTATATCTTATACAACTTATATGTTGGTTCAATTTGATTTTTTTAGGTACCACAAATCACTTCTGATGAGCATAAAAAGAAGCAAACTAAGAAGACATAAAAGAATTACACAACTATTAATCAGCTAAAGACGTCAAAGCATACAAAGAGTATATTTAATAAGAAAAACGTTGATTTAGATTCCTTCTCTCCCACTTCACACCTCGAACGTGTCGTTCCTATAGAGATAAAGGCGCTTTGACATCTTCTTAACCCGAAATGGCTGGAGATCATGAAAAGCATTTCCAAATTAGCAAAAACCATATCCAAAGGCATGTCTGCAAGAGTGCAATGCGTTTTGCTTTGTCCACTACTGCTCGTGTGGGCGCTTCACTCTAAGGCATAAGATTATTATAGGTGTTTCGAAACAAACTTTTTGACACAATGAATTTGTTATTATTTGTCTTTGGATACTTTATTCATATAATTATCAATACTAGTTTAATGGTTTTTTATATATTGACAATCATTTTCATTTTCATACACATCAAAAGTAGATACAGAGAGAAGGGAGAAAAGTTGCAGGTGGGGGATGGTTATCGATGGGGAGGCGTGGTTAGACTGTGGGTATTAGGTGTCGATGGAAGAAGAGGTTGAAGATAGGAAAGGGGAGGCCGAAGGAGAAGGAATCACATGGGTTTAGCTCTCTATATATCTACATCTATATATATATATATATATATATATATATATATATATATATATATATATAGAGGAGCGATCAAATGAAAACCACTCCAATTTGTAAAAACCGTAAAAACTACTCTCATTCGTCGATTTCATTGTTTAATCTTATGAAATTTTTTCATGAAATTGTTTAATCTTGTGAAATTGTTTCATATAAGACTTTTTTTGATAAAGTTGTTTCATATATGGTTATGAAATTGTTTCATATACTACTTAATGAAACTGTTTCATGTATTTCTCTAAAATTAATGAAACTGTTTCATGTATTTCTCTAAAATTAATGAAACTGTTTCATGTATTTCTCTAAAATTAAAATAATGAAGATGATAATATCCATGATTAACATCATCCACAATAAAAATGATTAATCAACCTCTCATAATTACAAAAAAATGAACAAAATAAAAAATTATGATTAGTTAAATGAAGTTTGTACAGTTTGTACAAATTAGGTGGTTTTTATTTGAACGCTCTCCTATATATATATATATATATATAGATACATATATATATATACATATATACATATATATATATATATAGAGGTTCAAACGAGAACATCTCTATTTTATGAGAATGTGAAAACATTTTTGGCCTCCAAATATTTAACCTAGAATTAAACCTAAAAGAAAATTAAAGTAATTGATTAAAGATAATCATATGATTAGTTTCCTATTTATCTGTAATTTTGTTGACATCTTTATCTCTAAATTTACATACAGATAATACGCTAATTGATATAAAATAATTATCACAGCAAAATCACATAATGAACAGACAGGTCGATTAATATAAACATGATTATCGTTGATTTTTTATTATCACAATATTATCACATTGTTATCAAAAGAAAAATCGTATAATTATTACATTAAAATCACATCATAAACAATCTTCTATTTATCAAATCATTATCACATTATCATGGCAAAGCTAGATTATTATCACATCATTTTATCGACAATGGACGCATTGACATAAAAAATCTCCGTTGATGATAGCAAAATTTATAGGATAAAGATAAATCTAGGATAATAGAAAATGTTGTGGATAAATACTAATTTATTTTCATTTATTCTATTTTTTATTATTAGTTAATTAATTTTTATTTTCATTTATTCTATTTTATATTATGTACTAATTAATTTATAGGCCAAAAAGTGTTTTCGTATTTTCGTAAAACAAGGATGTTCTCATTTGAACTCTTCCCCCCCCCCACACACACATATATATATATATATATATATATGTGTGTGTGTGTGTGTGTATATATATATATATATATAGAGAGAGAGAGAGAGAGAGAGATGAGCAATCATATGCAAACGACCCATATTTGTACAACTCGTGCAAACCATCCCCATCTGTCGATTTCATTGTTTAATCTTATGAAATTTTTTCATATAATACCTTTTTTTTATGAAGTTTTATTGAAACTGTTTCATGTATTTCACTAAAATTAATATAATAAAGATGATAATATCCACGATTAACACCCTACACAATAAAAATGATTAATCAACCTCTCATAATTACCAAAAAATGAACAAAATGAAAAGTTATGATTGGTTAAATGAGTTTATACGGTTTGTACAAATAACGTGGTTTACAAAGTAAAACTCCTATATACATACATAAAGGAGCGATCAAATGCAAACCATCCAATTTTACAAATCGTGCAAACCACCCTCATCCGTCGATTTCATTGTTTAATTTTATGAAAAAATTTCATGAAATTGTTTAATCTTGTGAAATTGTTTCATATACAACTTTTTTTGATGAAGTTGTTTCATATATGGTTATAAAATTGTTTCATATAATACTTGATGAAATTTTAATGAAATTGTTTCATGTATTTCTCTAAAATTAAAATAATGAAGATGATAATATCCATAATTAACACCCTCCACAATAAAAATGATTAATCAACCTCTCGTAATTACAAAAAAATGAACAAAATGAAAAATTATGATTGGTTGAATAAGGTTTTTACGGTTTTTACAAATTGAATGGTTTTTATTTGAACGCTCATATATATATAT